GTAACTCCAACAGCCACCGGGGAACATGCTCTACAGCATGTCACAGCCTGGCAAAGGACACACCACTACAGAAAACAAAGGAGCCTTCTTTGCCTGCTGCACAAACTGCCACACCTCTTCACTGCCTCTGTTTGCAGCATTCTAGGCCTGGCTCTTATATAGGCCTCTGCCTAGCAGTGACTCACAGGGTGCTTGACCCACCCAATCAGGAGCCACCTGAAACAAAAGCCCCAACTCCCTCTGACTAGGGCAGCCCAGAGAGCTCATTAGCAGCACAGCCCTCTGGTGTGTCAGCCACTCCTCCCAGTTTAGTATCACCAGCCAACTTGCTGAGGGTGCACTCTGTCCCTTCCTCCAGGTCATTAGCGAAAAGCTGAACAGTGCTGGCCCCAGTACTGACCCCTGGGATACAAGCCTAGTGACCAGCATCCAACCAGACTTTGCACCACTGACCACAACCCTCGGAGCTCGGCCATCTAGCCACTTCTCAATCCACCTCACCGTCCACTCATACAACCCACGCCTCCTGAGCTCGCCTTTGAGGATGGGATGGCAGACAGCGTCAAAAGCCTTGCTCAAGTCCAGGGAGACAACATCCTCTGCTCTGCTCTCATCTACCCAGCCAGCCATTCCATCAGAGAAGGCTATCAAGCATGGTTAAGCATGATTTCCCTTGGGTGAATCCACGCTGACTACACACTGCCCTTTTTCTGTACAAGCTTCAATCTCAAAGCATATTTGCTGTCCAATAATTTCAAAATTTGCTGTGTTTGCCAAATATACTTTCCGTAGAGTCAGTCTTTTTCTCATTAGCCGGCTTTATTTGATTTGTTGCATATTCCACACCGTGGTTTGGGGTTTAGGGAGGAAATTGCATAGGCTTCATAGAGCAGGTGCGTGCCTGGCTCATGAGCTGTAGCCAGTTGGTGCAGTTCATACCTGGGTGACTACGGGGGCTAGGGCTTACAGAGAAGCAGGCAATTTGGTTTGTGCCATGTGATGATGCTACTGTGGTTAGCAGTGACGCCTGTTGGACAGAGGGGGTCTGCACCTGCCTGGGTTTTGGTTGTGTAACGCAGAACATCAAGCATTTCAAGATGCCATGTTTTCTGGATGTTTAAAGTCCTGTCCATGGCTTGCCTTTTTCTGAGCTTGGTTACCAGCTATACCGGATCTTATGAAAAGCTATTGGCAGTATGCAATGGACAGCACTGTCAATTTGGCTACTGCCTCTAGATCTGAAATACAGTCTGCTAGTTCTATGTTGCTCTTTGGAATTCAGCTACAGAAGGTGCTTGACGGTGCTGGAGAGGGTAGCTACAGCAGGAGCCTCTTGCACAGCAGATAGATGCAAAAAGTGCCACTCTCCTTTTTAGCCCGTTTTGGCTCCTGCACAGAGAAAGGTAACAACACAAGCCATGCACATTCCTTAGAAGCGGCCTCTGGCAATGTAAGATCTGCAAGATCAGGGAAAGATCCCTTCAGTGTATTAAAAAATAAAATCGACTCCTCTTCCCATCACAACCATCAAACCATCTTTCCTCAGCTCCAACTTCATGGATCACCTTTGCCATCCTCTTCACCTACATCCTTTCCTTCCCTGCTTCAAAGCACAGGTTCTGACCTAGATGGAGGCAACAAGCAGAAAAGTGCGGTGTGCATGACAAAGGAGGTATAGGAGCTGCTACCTCACATGCGACCATATGCCAGCTGCTCCACACAATGGCTGGTAAAGACTGATCCCTGTGAGGGACCTCCTATATGCTGGTAAAAATGTGCACTCGGGCAGTTAAAACAGCGACTGGCATGCAATAACTTAATGGGAAAGTAAGTCAACTAGATCTTCCTTCACATCAAATTGAATATGCAGACCCATGGGGACTCCAGAAGTGCAGGGCCCCAAGCAGGGCTATGTGTCATAAGGCTAGTCCTGGTGCAGCTTGTGCTTACCTGAGTACCCAAACTGCAACTGCATTAGAATCGCATCCAGTAGGGCTTTGTAGATAACCATATTCTGCTCTTCCATTTGAAATCTCTATTAAGATGGAAATCTTTGGGACCAGACATGTGCTAGGCCAAATGAAATATCCTGTGTAGAGCCTGGCATCACCTCCTCCACAAGTAGTGAAATCTTCATCCTCCAGTGTATGTCTGCACTTCACTGAGTGGGTAGCATTGTGAGACTATTTTCATCTGGCTCTTGTGTTCATCTAGTGTCATTTAGTTTTGCATTTATGCATCTATCTTTTGGCAACTGGTGCCAACATGCTTTATTTTTGAGCATGCTCTGGTTATGTGCAAAACCTCTCATGCCTCCATACCTGTCAAGCACTGGATACCTTTCTGACAAGTATCTAATTTACCTTTCAGGTGTCATATATCTCTTTTTTAAGAGCATTTTAAATTATATTTCATATCACCCTTTTCATTCATCCTCTCAGTTCAAGCCTAGTGTTTCAATAGGGTTCAAATTGCTGTTTATATTTCCCTCTACATACTCAATTGGCAAAAACCTCTTTTAAGTACCACCTGCAGATTAATTTAGCCTGGTGTTTTCCTTTTCCAGATTACTGATGAAGATGTTAAGAGAATGGGCCTATACTGATCTTTTCAGTAAATATCGGAATAATTTGCCATTGTTTTTATTGATGGTCTTCTAGTTCTTTCCTTTTCATCTAACCGCCAACAGCCACACCAGTGTGAACTCATACTTCAGACAAAATTTTTTTAGGAGCTCCCATATGAAAAATTTACTGTAATAAACTTGGGTAACTCACTTGATTTATGAGTTAAATTTCAGTAGTTTGTTTTTATTGTTTGCTTGGATATGACTTGCTTGTGAGGAATCACAGCATCCAGGTGCAACATGGAGTCAGGAAAGATTGCATGGAAGCTTAAGATCATAAACTAAGCATTATGAAGGATTAGGAGGTTTGTTCTGTGCTGGAGAAAGCATTATAGGTCTAGACAGGTTCTACACACAGGTTGGGCAACAGTTCTGTGAAGGAAACACAATACTGTCAGCGAAGAGCAAGAGGTATACTAAAGATTTGAAGTCATTGAAGAGAACATTGCATGTTTCTCTATGCTTTTACTAGGTAGCAGAGGACAATTGTTTCTGCTAGCAGCTTCAAAATAAAACCATGATGATATGTAGGCATCAACAGGTTTGTCCTCACAACGATTGCATGGAGTAGCTGAAGCTATCGTTATCCAGCTAAGTTCAGTCTATAACAGAATTTGTTTAAAGCTGGGTAAGAGAAAGCACAGTCAGTGAAGCTGGTAAGGAAGCTATGGAGAGCAATAGGGAAGCACAGCTAGTGAAAAATTAGATCACTGAAACAATCATCTAAGGTAGCAGATTTCCCAAAGAGGTGAGGAGCCACAGAGCCCCTGGTCAGTGAAGCTGATGTGACAGAAGCAGCCATCAAAGGCAATGAGAAGCGATGACAGTTCCTGTTCTTGTAATGTAACAGTGTTTTCAGCATAATGAGGAATTTGGAGATGACTTGGTACAGCAACAGACTGTTTTTAAAAAGGAAAGTGTTCCAGTAAGGGAACTCCTCCTCTTCAGACTCTGATATACCAGGTAGCAGTGATGCTAATGGCATACTGCAGGGTGGCTAGCTAAGCATTTTTCATGAATTGCAGTGAGAAGATGGGGGAATATTCATCTATACCTGTGTAAAAGCCCAATGGAGACTTATACCTTCATGTTCTTAATGGATTCATTTGACTCCATAAAACATGGGAAGGACATTCTATATGAGTGGGTGAGTTTCCAACTTTCAAGGGAGTTGGGATTTAAACCTGCAGGAAATGAGGAGATTTCTGGAATATCTGGTAAATGACCACAAATTACAACATCAAATCCAGAAATAAAACATTTTAAAGGTCAGGAAGGTGGATAGGAATCTGGGGAAGATATGTAGATCTGTGGGCCTCTACAAATGCTACAGGAAGATTTGTACAATATCTGCAGGCAGTCTGCAGCACTGTTTAACCAGTTGACTGAGAGCTGTATGGGGGAGTACCAACAAGCTCAGGAATTCTTCAGAGAAGTCAGGTTTCATCTGTGTGCGGCTCAGTCCTTAACTTCTGGCATTCCAACAAACCCTTTGGTTTCTACCAATGAACATCTCAGATGCCTCAGGTGCCAGTGAGTATTTTTCTCTGTGCCAAAAATGCATGGATGAAAATGTCTGACACCAATGTGAGAGGTGTTTCCTAAGGTGTTGTGATGCCCTGTGGAAAGAGTAGATGTAGCAGCATCTATACACATCCATACCAAGGGACTGTGCCTAGCCATCCAATAAATTACCTGTTCAGTTGCTGCCAGACAGAATTACATAACCCACTTCTTTCCTCAGAGTCACGTGAAAGGCTTTCCCCACATTAGCAGCATTGTGGGGACCAAGATTATTGGTGACTCCAAAGTAAACAACCTCAGTTTACAAGGAAAACAGAAAGGTGGTTTGCCTTGCAAACATGGAAAGCTAACCTGTTTTCATTCTTCTCTCTTATGTTCCTGTGATTTGCTGGCCACATGGCATTCTTTGCAATACCTGTTTACCTCACTGTCTGCAACAAACAGGTGTAACAATTTGATCTGTGAGCGTGGTTGAACACTGGAAAAGGTTTCCCAGAGAGGTTGTGGAGTCTCCATCATTGGAGATATTCAAAACCCAGATGGACATGGCCCTGGGCAACTTGCTCTAGCTGACCCTGCTTAAGCAGGAGAGGGGGAAACAGATGATCTCCAGAGGTCCAATGTCAACTATTCTGTGATTCTGTGATGTTGGTAAACAATTACTATGCTGCTGCACAAGAAAAAAGCAGTGGCTACCTCCCTGAGCTGCGCAGGGCGAACAGGAGCAAAAACAGCAAGAATTATTTAGTCAGTCAAGTCAGCAGATCTGACACATGGAGAAATCTGCTGGAAGGACAACACAATTTAACATACTCAATTTTCTAAGCACAACTGCATTTTAAAGGCCAGCTTTAAAGGCAGAAGAAAGGTTAGCCTCTCACTATTGTGCATGGAAGAGAGGAAAACTATGTTCAGCCCCTGACAGTATAGCTGAAGGAGAATGTGACTGCCCATCTGCAAAGGTGGGCCATTAGACAGGCAGATGTGTAGGTTACTATGTGCATCTCTACATACATATGCATATGCCCATGCATGTCTAACTGTATATGTATTTACACATACATATAGGAAGTATGTCTGTGCATGCCTAGACCTATGAATGTATACATATGAGTGCACACACACATAAAGGGCCTATCATGCACCCTTTCAACTGGTACTTAAGTGGTCTAGCTTGTGGATGCTACTACCACTGCTATAGCTGTATGCTCAGGTGCATACTGGTCTTTTTATCTGCATGATCACACCCGGTGACTGCTCTGAGGCTTAATTTCCCAGTGTGGGGGATACATCCCAGAGGATGTTGTTTGTAATAAACTCCCTATGAAATTATTTGCCTCTTTCTTTAACTCCAAGTCTTCTCCCCCACTTGCACAAACCTGGAGATACAAACTTATTATTTGACCCTCTCAATCAACAGCTCAGAGGTGCTTGTCTGAAAATACACAATATCTGCAGTTTATTTTTCAATTTGATATTGGAAGATAGGGGGGTGTTCAAGCATGGGCTTTTTCCTCAGACATATATCCCATGGATGACTTGGGGCAGAGAGTCTCTAGTCCTTCACCAGCCGGTAGATGTGATGTTGGGCACCGTGGTCACTAGTTGACACCTCAAAAACGTATGCTATGCACAGCAAGGTCTCCTGTGTGTCCCTGTTTGTCACAACCTAGACAGAAACAGAGAGGAAGCTGAGATGGCAACTGCTATTGCGCTGCTTACATCTTCCTGCGCTGCTTACATCTTCCAATACATTTAACACAGAGCAAAAAGTCAATGATAGGCAAAGAACGGAGAATCACAGGAATGGTACACAGCTCAGCCACCACAACCCCCAATTCAAGTGCCCACACACCCAGCAAGGGAAGGGAAGCCCTTTCCAAGCATCAAGACCACAGTGCAGTGAAAAGACAGCGAGGTGAGCAGAGTCCACTGTAGAGAAAAGAAAACTAAGATCAAGCAGTGACCACACACAGGGAAGCGGGTTTATGGGGCCCAGGAGAAGTCATCCTCTCTTGGAGTAAGCATGTGGTTCCCTTGCTTGAAGAGACAGCAAGCTACCCTGCTCCCCACCCCTTGGTGTTGCAGATTTCAGGAGAGAGAAGGTGCTTTGTAGAAAACCTCTTTACTCTGTTCTTTGGGTTTTGAGATGCCATCTGCTGTGGCACATCCGATTCTGCTCATGTGATCATGTGATGATATACCACAGCTATGAACAGTTCCTTCCCTCCACCTGCTCCTGCTTGTCAGTGGTTGACATAGACTGTGAGGATCACAGTGTATTTCTTATTATATAGGAGACGTACAAGTTTGACTCCTTTACATCTCCCATTCTGTAAACTGTAGATGACAGGAGAATAACGGCTGTTACACTGGTATTCTTACAGAAGCTTGCTTGTCTTTTTGCACTTCTTTCTCTGTGATACCTTTGGAACCTTAGCTTCTCTGCAACCTAGACAAGCGTCACTCAACTGCAATGCAGTCTGGTGATGGAGCAGTGCTGTCCAAGCTTCAGAAGCACTCACTGCCTACACTACATAGCAGGGACAGGTGAAATGTTGCATCCAGAGCTTCTAGCTCAGCTTCCCTCTCTCCCATATATCTGACACCACAGACCTTTGCACATTCTCATTATTCAGGTTTGTGCCATAGCTAAAGAGTCAAGCAGTTCTTTCCTGCTAGAGGAGCAACATTTTGATCAGGAGTAGCACCAACTCATCTGCAGAAGTAAGGGATACCAGCTGGGGTCCTGTACTGTACTAAAGCCCAGCCACTCTTGTGAAAACAGAAAGAAAACAGATGCTTTCAGACTTACTTATTCATTTTAGCAGCTTGATTTTAGTCTATTCTTTTTTCTTTCCTTACTTTATCATTGGTTTTGCAGCTGAACTAACACTTCTCCTTCCCTCTGCAGGCAGAGTTTTGAATTATCCACATCTGGGAATGGTAAGGCATCAGAGCCCCTTCCAAAGATCTACACCAAAACGGGCTCTGAAATCTCAGTGTGTTAGATTCAAAACAATGTGCAAAACAAGATAAACTATGATTGTGAGATTAGGGGTATCTAAACTCATGAAAGGCTCTAGAAAAAGTATAATTAGACTTGCCTCAGGACTTGACAGTGGGAACTGAGGACAAGCAGCATGCTTTGCATTAAGAATGACCATTTTTCAGCTCTCTGTTGGGGAATGGAAAATTCTCAGCCTGCCACTCAGAGAGCAAGACTGCGAGATTACAAAGGAAATATATGAAAGGCCATGCCAGCACCCACATGAAATATGCTTCTCTGTGACTGCAGGTGAGAGAAGGACATGAGATTATTCAGAACATAACATCCCAGAGGAAGTGTATGTATATGACAACTTCATTCATAAATTTAGAGCAAGCCCAGGCCTGGCTGAGGAATGACATGTGCAGAAAGCAGTTACAGCATTCCTCAGTATGAATTACAGCGCATAAGCCTTTCATCTCTCTGGCTCTGCCCCTTTCATGCCTTTGCTTACCTGAAAAAAACCCCATAGCATTTACATTCATCTTTCCTTCCAGGCACTAAGAGCTTGGTACAAACATGAAAGAGCAAACCTTTCTAAAGCCCTTTGAGGTATAGGGATGCTATTAACCTTGTTTTATAGCTGAAGTACCTGAGCCACAGAGCAGTGAAATGAATTGCCTGAAGTCCCGCAGGATCTTCAGTGGATGGAATGAAGACCACTTGATTTCCATTCTTTCATATAGCTTCTAACATCTCTTCCACTTACCCAACCTCAGGTTCTCTGGGGGAAGATCTGTGGAACACCTTGTATAGGCAAGCATAGAACTCACAGTGCACTAAGAAAATATACCTTTTAAGCTATCTTGGCCCTTTTCCTCAAATTTATGCTGCATCAGAGCCTAGAAAGGCTGCATAGACAATAATGGAAATCTAGTTACTGTAGTCTTATAGTACTGCACTACCTAGAGGCTGCAGTACTTCATGAAGGTGTCACAGTGCTTCCTGCAACATGCCCCTTCCTTTGCTTGGCTCTACATTCTTTCCAGGTTAGGGATGGACCTGAGGAAGCAACCTTTTTATTCCGCCTGCTCAGGATGGAGAATTCTCTCCATGCCAAAATTGTATGGCCACTTGATAGTGTTCTTGCTTTTTTACCTTGCAAAAGGGGCCAGGGCACAGAGAGGACCTCAACGTCTGTCGAATAATGAACGAGCATTTTTCTTATTGCAACTTTTGCATCCTCCTATTTCCTGTATCTCTCTGCATCATCAGTTCTCCCTTCATCTTTCCTTTTTCTTGTTCTTGCTCAGGCCTCTCAAACTTTTCTGCTGCTTCTCTGTATGAGCCATGTTCTCTAGAGATCCATTAATTGTCCTGAGGTGCAATTTGCATGAGCGATAACTAAGTGCTGTTAGATACTGAGCTGTAAAAGGAAATCTGCTTTAACTCACAACTGTGAACTCTTACATGGGGCTTATATGTTTCCAAGCTTCAGCAAAAACAGTTCAATGTCCCACCTGTAAGATAGTAAAGTTCTCCAGCACACTGTTCATCATATACTTCTCAGGGAGGTGCTTGAGTTTATGGATGAAGTTAATCATGTATTCACAGAGAGGGGAGCGGTGGATGCGATAGGAATAATGTCCATTTTCATAGCGTGCATACTCTGTCTGCAATGTAAAACAGAAAAGGGGCGTGTAGGGCTAATGTTATCACATTAATCTCATAAAGGGACTCGGAAAAGAAAAATTACCATGACATTTTCAAGTCATTTTACTAATGGTAATAAGCTGATTAATCATTCCTCTACAGTACTCCACAGCAAGGCTAGTCTCCTTGAGCTCTCTGATTTCTTCAGATTGTTCTTAAAAAAAACAAAAACAAAAAAAACCTATGGGTACCAGCTTACAAATGGCAAACTACCAAGGAGCTGTGAAAAGTAACTAAGAGGAGCAAACCAATTGTCAGCTATACTAGGGTCTGCATCTCTGCTGGAAAAGCATTAGATATCAATAAACTAAAAAAGTTTAAAACTACTGCTTTAGCAAGAATAGGAAGCTCCTAGTAATGACGGTAATCGTATGCTCAGGGTGCTTCACAGCTGGGGAGGACTAGAGCCTTCTGGCGTCTGTGAGAAAGGACAATGCTCAGAAGAGGGGATGGCACATACAGGGCCCTTGGTCTAGCTAATGTTACACAGAGGGATTTTTCCTCACATTCACATCTTAGCTCCTATATATTTCATCTTCCTTTGAATAGAAGCCCACACTGGAGTGTATCATTTCACAGCAAACCCTTAAATGCCTTTTACCTCCTTTTATTCTACAAGCTTGATTTCCTGTCCTGTGTACCATGATACCTTCCCTTGGCCTATGTATCCCATTGTATGACCACACAGAAACCAGACTTCATAAGCAGACTGCAGGCATGCCTATCCTGTGGCTGGAGTTGGGTCCTGGGGAAGAATATAGCTTAGAATTGAGTTGACTACTGACATTAGAATGCCTGGTGTTGTGAACAGAGTTGTCCTTCTACACCTAAAGGCTTCTTGAGAAAGAAGGCAGCAGGGAGCAGATCAAAGCAGCTCTCTTAGCAAGTGAATCTGGCATCAGAAAGAAGAATTTCTTCAATGCCAGAAATACATATAATGAAGCAGCCCCAGTGTTGCTAGAGCCTTAAGCATCCTTAAGCATATAAGCACCAAGATAAGCCTCATAAAACCATAAGCCTATAGTCTATAAATGATTACAGTCTATTAATTTGTGACTATAGCCTATAAATGATCTGTTTAAAACCACTGATGAGAATGAGGCGTTGTCTATTTGCTTTCAGCTTTCTGGACTACAAAAACATGGGCCCAGGTTTCCTAGCTTTTCTGTGCTCCCAAGAAGCCATCTCACATATTCACATGGCTTCAGAAACTGAGACTTAAGGAAAAAACACCAAACAGTATCAGATCTTCAATGAAGTCCTGAGAAAAGGCCATGCTGCAGGCTGGAGCAATCTTACACCTGCATGTCTCAGAAATAACCTATGGCATGAATGTCAATGCTTCTCCAGTCCATCTCCCTGACAAAAAGCATGGGATATATTTTGCCTTGAGATATATACAGCATGCAAGTACTTGCAGCAACAGAACAGCAGCCCTGAGAGAGCCTTGTACCCAAAAGAGACTGCTTCATACCTCCACTTTCTCCACCACCTGCTTTCCAAAGGAGCATACTTTAGTGGAACAGGTAATGACCATGTTTTCAGGGCTCTCATATTGGCTGGAAACGCCATAGAAAGATCTGGATTCATCTTCAATATTGGTGTTCAAATCAGCCTGCAAAAGAAAAAAAAAAGGCAAGAAAAATAGAGGGTTATCAAGTGTGGTGGTCTTTACCATGACCTAAAGGAGTCTTGCTTGGCCAAGATCAGAAGGTATTGCAGTGCCCAAAGCTCCTTAATCAGATTAATGAACATCAAACAAGTAGAGGAAATGTAAAAAACATGCACTAAAATCCAGTTCCCACTTTGGAAAACAGAGGTGGAGATTTATATATACTTTGAGGAAGTCTGGTGGAATATACTCTGATCTTCAAAAATCTGTGACCTAGTCTCTTGCCTTAGCGGATATTTACCATAATGGGACAGTGCCAAGATGACGTGTAGGTCAAGAAACATAAGGAGGGCAGACAGGAGGACATTGTAGAGACAGGGTAATGTGACAGATAGAGCCTCTCTTAGGAGGAAAGTTAAGGGTACACCTATTGTAATAAAGCTTCTTTTCCATTCTGGAGATGCAGGTGAGGGGAAAGAGAGCGAGGAGAAGGAAAGTATGAGTGAGGGAAGAGCATTAGATATGGTGATCCTAACTATGATATGAAGAATAAAAGCAGACAGAATGCAACATGAGGAAGGTAGCTTGCTGGTGGACCCAACCCAGTTCCACCTAAACCCAAACCCAGCTGCATTAGCAGCCCAGTTTTCAAATGTAGGTCCCTACAGTTGGTCAGCTGAAGCCTCATGTTGAGATGCGACTCCTTAACCCCCAACATGTGGCTCCCTCAAGCTTCCACCAGGGGTCACTCTAATCCTGCTTACAAAAAGAAGAGTGGCAAAGTGGCACCCTGAAAACACAAAGCAGGTGGGAATGCCCAACTCGGCTTCCTCCCTTTCAAAACTAAGAGGGTACAGCTTGTCTGTGCTCAATAAATTTAGGTGCTAACTTACAACTACCCAAAAATCAATGATCAGTTCCCCTGGGTTATTTCAGTCTATTCTATTCAAGAAATGGTGTTTCTGATACAATGGATTCTGTTGCCCTGTCCAGAGTGTGAAAAAGACTCTGTATTAAATGCAGTTCTACCATAGTTTTCCTATCCAGTGTCAGTGGAGACTTTTTTATATGAAATCTAGAGCAGCCTTTAAGACAGGCAAGGTTAGCCTGGGAACTGGAGCTCCTCAGTAATGAATCTCCCTTTTCTTTGCCATACACAATACCTGTCCTTTTCTACCATGAGACAATACTGTTAGCTTATTTCTCTAAAGTGGCAATTTCACAAGAGGTTTAAGTCAATCTACATCTGTGCTGTTAGTAGAAAGCGGCAATCCAGCTGTCTGCCCATCCACAGCCACACATGCCTGCTGCTGTCCTTGTGCTAAGGCTAGCAATTTTGTGACTCTACAATTAGGCCAGAGAGCTAATCCAGCTGAAGCATTTTTTCGTTTTGTTGTGGTTTTGGTGGGTTAGTCAGACAAAAAAGCTCACCTGAATCTCCACACGGCTGCAGGGGCATGAAGAGGTGAGAACATACACACAAAAGTTGACGCTGCAAGGTTGCCTATTTTGATAGCAGCACAGGCTTAGTCTGGCTTGAGCCTCTTGGGAAACCATACCTCAAAGCTGTAGTTTGATGAACACCAAGGTGGTCCTGGCACCAAAAGCAGTCTCACTGTCCCACAACAGTTTGTGCCTCCCCATCTCTCTTGTACTGGCAGAAACTTCTGTGTAACTGTAGCACAAAACTCAGAACTAACTGAGGAACTGCTCAGTTAGTTCTCAGTGGGATCAGTTCTATGACCTGGTTCAGAAGTGCTAGAGTGCGTTCACACAAAGAGCATGTGTTGAGAGGATGGGCATCAATGGGGAAAATAGAGTGCAGGACTGCTTCTTATAGCAAATGAGTTTGAGTATAAACTATAGCAGAAGGCCTGCTAGAAGCCAGAAAGTCACTCCATTGCCATTCCTTTCAAGTTAAAAGTTTGGCTCTAGGACAGTCAGGCTGGGTGATCTAGGATCTCTGCACCATACCACTCACCAGCAGCTCCCACCTCACAGAGTTATCGCCACAGAAGAATTTATCACTTTGCCAAGAGCGATACCAAGAGCATTAGCAGGAAAGGCAGCTGTGTAATCATGTCCAGTATTTCTACTCAGTCCAATTCCCCTGGCAGTTAACTTGTTGCTTGGGGCACATGGAGGATGAGGATGAGGTGGAAAAGGAATAAAATAAATAATCTCCCCATTTATTTCACAAATAAATTTCCATTTTCCACTTAGAACAATACTTGGATGCTGCTGCCACTCTGCCTTTATGCAAGCATATTTCCACCTGGAGAAAAATTACCATCTGCCTTAGATAAATGATGCCACGGAAGGGCCAAGCCAACAAGACAATAAAACCCAATCATCACTTTTTTTTGTTTTAAACTGTACAAACCCAGGAGTGAAAGATTTAGGATTGGTTTTTAATGAAGTACAGTGGGCAGTGCACCTCCAGGAATACCTCCTAGACTAGCAGTTATAGCATTCAGTTAATTCTAGCTGGATAAAGATTCAGTCCAGGCAAGATGAAAGAATGGTTGAATGTTTCAGGATCAACACTGGCAGCATTAGGGATGAATATACAGCTTTTACTCTGCCCTTAATGGAGAACATAACAGCACAGTATTTAACTACATAATCACAAATCACTCTTCAAAACAATATTTTGTTGTTTCCTACAGTTTCCACCAAAACCCTCAACAGATGTAGCATCTTTGCCACACACTACAGATGAAAGATCCATTTGTCAGAATGGCCTACCTTTTTTCTATGATTCCACCTCCGAAGTAGAATCTCTTCCTCTGAAGTAGTTACAAATATTTAACTATTGTAAATCAGCTTGGTTCTACTCCCATAACAGGATTATATCAGTTTACAGCAGCTGTGGACCAATCCGTTTTACGACTTCCTAAATGTGGCAGCTTCTACATAGTACGTATTCAAGAGCACCCTTTGATTTATCAGGGGATAGTAGGATGAAGCTGGCAATTATTTTTTTCTCACATTTTCTTCTCCTTAGGAGGTAGCTTCACTAAACAACTTATCCAGCTGCATATATTCCTATCATCTCTTGCCACTTTATCCCTCCTTGGCCCTACAATTTTCTGCCTCCTTCCTGTGCTGAAAAGAGATTTGGGGCCCACAGGTCAAACCACATCAGTAAAACAATTTGGGTTAAATTTTTTTTTTTTTAATCATTTTAAATCATTTCGATTGGCACCACTGAGGCAGTGATAACATCTCCACAAGATTTGGAAACAAGCGGCTGGAAGAAGACCGGAAATCTTCACATTGGCATGACCACTAGAAAGACTGTAATGCAGTACTATGCTCCTGTGGCTTGTCTACACTGAGGTCTGGAGCATATGTGGGCAAATGCAGGCTAGCTTTAACTTGGTAGCCCAGGTGTTAATAGGAACAAGGCACAGGCTTTACACAGACTTCATCATAATTCAGGCTGCCTAGTGAATTTTTATGGCCCATGCTGAAGTCCTTGCTATTGAATGTCCCCTACTGTAGTTTATCCAGCTACTCTGCTCCCACCACAAATATGTATATATTAGAGAATAGCAAAGCTACACTGTTCTGGTTTAGGTTTTATCAGCTTACTGTTATACTCTTTTTATATATCAATGCAGCTAACTAGCGTTTACTTGACCCACACTTCAGCTGTTTGAATAAAGATTAATTCTCCCCCTTCTCTAAAGAGGAACCAGACTGGGAATATTTTACAATATTGTTTAGCTGTTTCCTTGTGGGTTAGGTGATATGGATGGACCCAGTCCCACTTTCCAAAGAAATTGTCCCATTGGCTCAAAAGAACAAAGGGTCAAGGCTACAGAGTGCAAAGGATAGCTTGGTCTGACCACAGCTCTGTAAACATAGAGGAGGCCTCCACTGCAGAATCGGACAAAGATTTTTAGGTTCTCACCAGTAAAGTTAGGGTCACATTCCCATGAAATCTTAAATATGGTAAATTCAAAACCAAGGGCAGTTGATACGAAGTAAAGCAGAAAGATCTTAAGTCCACTTCATGAGAAGCTTGACAGAGGCCTAAGAAGCCACTGCAGGTGCCTTCACAGGTTGGCAAGTCTCCCACCAAAAGATCAGACTGTAGAATTTCACACCTAATTAATTACCATTAAACTGTTTGGCAGGAGGCAAAATTATGGTAATATTGTTTGAATTAAGCAGTCAGCACCATTCACTAATGTTATGTCCAAACAGTTTCATGGGAGCCCTGTCCCAGTGAAGCAATGGGATCATGTTTGAATCACTTGACGTTTACACTGCACCCTTTATTCCAAAGCACTTAAAATATTATGGGCTAGAATTTTCTGACATGTCTTAGGGAGTCAGTCAGCAAAAGCAGGGCACCCATCTCCTGTCACCTCAGAAGATGACATAAACACATATACATGGAATTTCAGTAACTCCAGAAAATAATAGTAGCAGCTAGCCAAGGGTTCCGATTAGTGTTTGCAGAAAAATGGAGCTGTAGCACATCAGACAGATAGATACTGCCCCACGCTGCTGCCTTCCACCCTCTCATGGAAGTTACTGCTCCTGTACCAGGGACGATTTACTTGAATTATCTGCAGCCTGGTTCATTCATGTAAACTGAAAATGGTAGTGACATATCTATGAATACAATGAGCAAAGAACAGCAGGAGCTCAGGAGTGGCTCTCCAACCTGTTCAGCTTTCCCTGCTACCGAGATGATTACTTCCTGGAGGGAGGAAAGGCAGAGGACTGGAAGAAGTAACACTGTTATCTGCCATAGCCAAATCAACCTGTAAATGTGAACTGGAGACTCAGATAAGTTCCAAATAGATATGGTTAAACTTCCTAGTATTACAGCAGGACAAAATCTTACTGCGTATCATGGGGTCTTTAATGCTACTGCTTTGAAGGTAACATCTACAAATGCTACAGCTTCCATGCCCAGTTTCCTGTGAGCTCCTCAGAATACCTAGGCCAGCGGGACTCAAAACTGCATTCCTACTTTGAGGAAA